TAAAAATCCAAGAAAAATGGTGAAGGCGTGAAACATGTTTTGCGAAGTAGCATCCACATTATCCTACCTGAGCAATTACTCAGCCCATTTACATGCTGCCTTCCGTGGCTGATATTTCAATTTTTCTGGAACCTATTTTTGAGCTCCCTTCTTAATCACTTCTGATTAGGATCTTTCAAACGCCCAACAACATAGAGAATCAACCAGCAGATAGGCGAGGGCACGCTCCCTCAATCCACGGTCTGCTTGTAGTTCACTCTATCGAGAGGTTGGCTTTTTTAGTTGAAGATGACCCACACTCCAACTACCCCTCAACTGGCAATCTCACTGCTGTACCCAGCGCCACTGAGGTGGATCTGGACAAACTAGTCGCCATTTGCTAGAGCATGTCCGACTTGTTAAAATGATGGAATGTAGACATCTACGTAGAGTTGTAAAGATTTTAAAATATTTAGTTTGTATCTTGTATGCTCTGAGCCCGAAACAGCTCCACACACGATCTGACATCATCATGTTCCTTCTGATCTCCCTTAGTTCCTTACAGTGATCATCCAGCATATTCACCAGGGTTCTGGACTGGGTGGAGTGTACTAGCAAATCTCCAAGGAGCAGTAGCCTAGCATGAACGATTCGGGAGTTCTGACAGCAAAAGCCAAACCTCCTTCTAGTCCGACCCTTCCGAGATATTGGTGGAGCACGAGAGTGACCTTGCGCTGGGAACCGCCGCCCAGTAATACTAGGGTCACTGAAGAAGATCAACATCGACAGCGTAATGGCGACGCGTTCAATTTGAAAGTAAAGCAAGACAAAGTCTGCTTTTTTCCTGAGGTCGTTCGACCCCACCTTGCGGAGAATATTCATAAAAAATTGGAGACTCTCAGGCTAGCAGTTCTTTCACTTCCTCTGTGTGGCCCTATCCTCGTGCCAACAAAACTCAGTCTGACCTCTAGCGCTCTTCCCCAGGAAGAAATTTTACGCTAAGTGACATGACCTCAAACTCGACTTCCGATCTTTCTTCGATCAATAGCTCCTGGAATTCTAGAGATAAGACAGCGACTAAATTTCCTTGTATAGGCAATACATTGTAGATGACAGAGGTGTATGTTTGGATGAGCAAAGACTCCACATGAAAATGATATAAATTCGGATTCTAAAATACCTAAAGTGATTCACTAATTATGGGACAACCTAATATTTAAAGGCAAG